TTTCTCCAACTTTTTGTAGAGAGAATTTAGATAGACTCACATACACACACACACACACACACACACACACACACACACACCATGACCACACATGTGCCTGGCTTGAGTTTCAAGCCCCTAGGCCAGGACTTAAACCCCACATAAGTTTCAGGCCACTGGGTCTGGGAGTTAAGCAACGGTCAGCCATGTGGGAGTCCAGCAATGTAACCATTACATCATCTGCTGGTCCCAATAATTCTCTCTAACTTTTTCTGATTAGAAAAGATGGGACCAGCTGGTGGCAAGGTGGTTAGGGCAGTTGGATCCCACGTGGTCGACTGCACAATTGAGTCCAAGACTATGGCTTGAAAAACATACCAGGTGCATGTGTGTGCACAGTCAAAATCCTCAAAGGAGAATGGAGGAGAGGAGATTATGGCTAACCATACCCCTCAGAAGAGTGATTTCTCGCTTTCCTTTTCTCTCTCTCTCTGGCAAGTGCATGCACCCTATAGCAAAACTTAAAACAAAACCAAAAAAAAAGTAATACATGGATAGATATTGAGATGCATATTGAGAAAAATTGAAAAATACAAAAAATGTAAGAAATTGAGACCAGCAGGTGGCGTGATGGTTAAGGGGCTGGACACTCCCAGATGGCCAAGTATGGTTTGAGTCCCAGACCTGCTGGTTTGCTTTCTCGCTTCCTTTCTCTCTCTCTCTGGTCAAATTAAAATAAATGAATGAATAAATAAAATTCATAATTCTAAAAAAAAAAAAGAAGAATCATACTTCCTAAGGATAGATCCTTGCAACCATTTTTCATGGGTTTCTTTACATTAGTACTTTCTATGCATATGTAGTTTTCCCATCCATGGGAATAATGATACACATGTAGTTTTGAAATTTCTATATTGGGCTTAAGCATTTTCAGTATCACTGAAAAGTGATATTTTAAAACTTTTTTTTGGGATTTTTGCATGCACTCGTGAGAGAGACAAACAGAAAGCGAGAAATCACCCCCGGGGGCGGGGGGGGAGGTGGAACGCTGCAATGCAATCCCTTCTCCTCCATTCTCCTCTCAGGATTTTGGGCATGCACATGTACATGAACATGCCTGGCATGAGTTTTAAGCTGCTGGGTCGGGAACTCGAACCATAGTGAACTACATAGGAGTCCAGCTATGTAACCATTACACCAGCTGCTTGGTCCCAAACAAGACTGTTTTTTTAAAGTTCATTCATTTCTTTCATGACAGAGAGATGAGAGACAGACACTCCAAATAGGACCTTCACGTCCCAGTCCATCTCTAGTCTCAGTCAGCACAGGGTACCAGGTCAAGTACATGCCCTGCATGCTCAGGCCAGTCCTAGGGGGAAAGCCCATCTTTCCCATGTGGGTCCAGTTGGGTTACACTGTGCCACCACCTGACCCCTAAAACTACTTAATGGCTCCTAGCATTAGTGCTGATGTATTACTAATTGAACCATCTTCCAAAAGTCATCGTTAGTTCATTCATTCATTCAGTAGATATTTATCAAACCAGGGTCTGGGGATATAGTGATGAATAGAAGACAAGGGATTGTGGTGTGGTCATCCCCCCTGAGGAATGATTTCTTTCTCTCCCTCTCTCTCTCTTTCTGTCTCTCTTCAGTGAGTGCTTATGCTCTATAACAAAAACAAAATCTCAGTCCTCACAAAACTGTCTATTTAAATATTATTCTTGGGGCCGGCAGGTGGCTTGGTGGTTAAGGACACTGAAGTCCCACATCACTGACCACAGTTCAAGTCCCAGACCTGGTGGCTTGCTTTCTCACTTTCCTTCTCCTCTCTCTCATTCTGTCCCTCTCTAGTCAAATTAAAATAAAGAAAGAAAGTTGAATAAAATAATTCTTTAAAAATAAATAAATAAATTCTATATTCTTATTATAGCTTATCAGTCCTCCATAATCTGTTGTCAAAATCCTTGGCCTCAAAAAAAAGAGAGAGAAAGAAATATTATTATTCTTAATACTATGATAAAAATCTTTGCCCAACTCTGGTTATTTTCTTAACAATGGATCCTTAAAGGTGAGATTTCTAGGGACCAGCAGTTAGCATAATGGCTATGTCACTGAACTCCCATGTAGTCGACCGCGGTTCGAGTCCCGAACCCGGTGGCTTAAAACTCACGCCAGGCACATGTGCATGTGTGCCCAAGATCCCAAGAGGAGAACGGAGGAGAAGGGATTGCGGCGTGGCCATCCCCCCTGGAGGGGGGGGGGGATTTCTCGCTTTCTGTCTCTCTGTCTCGCTCTGTCTGGCGAGCGCACACGCCCTATAGTAAAAACTTCTCAAAAAAAAAAAAAAAAGTAAGATTTCTAGAATCAATCGTTTAGTACTTTAAAGGCTTTTCAGGTGATGTTACAACATAGCCTAGTGGGTACCAGCATAGGCTCCAAAACTAGAAACTCTACAGGTTAAACTAGCTGAAGGGAAGGGGGATGTCTGATGAGCCCTTGGGAAAGTACAGGGCAGCTCCCTGATGACAGAGCACCTGCAGAATGCAGGCCCTTGGGAGGGGGACTAGAGCACGGTGCTGCCAGCATCTGGTGGTCCCCAGGACAATTATCTGTGATACTTGTGAAGTTCCTTTGGGCTGATATGTTGGATGGATGAGATGGGGGGACACTTGTCCTCACTCGCCCACTTGGGACACACCCTCTAGGAGAGCCCCACCTGGTACTGCCATAGGACAGGGACATGCTCTCTCCACGTCTGCTGCCTGTCTCCTTGGGTGCCTGCTCTGTCCTTACTCTATCTGAATAGATACGTTTGTGGGGCCAGCAGGTGTCATGATGGTTAAGGGCACTGGACTCCCACATGGCTGACTGTGGTTTGAGTCCCCTACCTGGCAGCTTGCTTTCTCACTTGCCCTATCTCTCTCTGTCTCTCTCACGAGCTTGCTTTCTCACTTGCCCTATCTCTCTCTTTCTCTCTCACACGCTCTTACTCTGTCCCTCTCCAATCAAATTAAAATAATGAGTGAATAAATAAAAAATTAAATTAAATTAAAAATAGATACATTTGTGAAGCTGTTGGGACCACCCACCCTCACCTCTACTCCTGTCCTCCAGGATCTGGGTCCTGCTGTTGCTGCCATTCCTCTTTCTTCTCTCCCCTCAGCCCTGCCTGCTCCCTCTCCCCCTCCAGCTGCCTCAGACACAGTGAAGGATGCTTCATTTCTGTCTTTGTCCAGGTTCTTCAGGCTTAGAGGCTCCTCCTGACCCATCTCTAAATAGCAGGCTCATCTCTGCCAAGAATGAGGTGATTCAAGGGCCAGCAGGTGGCATGGTGGTTGAGGTGCTAGATTCCCATATGGCTGACCGCAGTTCAAGTCCCAGACCTGGCAGCTGAAATTCACACTGGATGCATGTGCATGCATGCCCAAAATTCCCGGAAGAGAGTAGAAAAGAAGAGAGTGTGACACGGCCATCCTCCCTGGGGGTGATTTCTCACTTTCTCTCTCACTCTCTTTCTGTCTCTCTTTGGTGAGCACATGTGCCCTATGACAAGAACTTTAAGGAAAAAAAGATTATTGTGTGATATAATAGATGTGACATTGCCTAGCCTGGCTCCTGGTTCATCGGGAATGCTCAATAAACGCTAGCTTACCTACCACACACCGCTGTCCCCTGCCCCATGCTCACAGTCACCACTGCAGGATTAAAGTGCTTTCTAAAGAAGAGGCATAGAGGGACCAGCAAATGGTGTAACGATTACATCACTGGACTCCACATGGCCGACTCTGGTTTGAGTCCCAGACCCAGTGGCTTGAAACTTTCACTGGGCACGTGTATGTGCACACCCCAAATCCTGAGAGGAGAATGGAGGAAAAGGGATTGCATGTGGCCATCCCCCCTGGGGGATGATTTCTCACTTTCTGTCTGTCTTTCTGGCGAGCACGTGTGCCCTATGGCAAAAATCTCTTTTTTTTTTGAAGAGGTTTTTGCTATAGGGCGCGTGCGCTCGCCAGACAGACAGAGAGAGATAGAGACAGAAAGTAAGAAATCCCCCCCCGGGGGGATGGCCACACTGCAATCCCTTCTCCTCCACTCTCCTCTCGGGATCTTGGGCATGCACGCACACGCGCCCAGTGTGAGTTTTAAGCCACCGGGTCCAGGACGCAAACTATGTCCAGCGACATAGCCATTACGCTAACTGCTAGTCACCAAAAATCTCTTTCTGAAGAAAAGGAAAGAGCCGTATGTGAGCACCTGTATACAATACTGTGTTTGGAATGACAGCTGTGTAGAAAAATACCAATATGATAAATTAAAGCCTCATCTAAATTTAGTTATTGGAGTCTCCAGTGTCTGGAAGTTGGAGGTCTACGGTCCCCCCTTTGCATGGACCATTCTGTTGTTCTCATTTCCCATTATTGCCCTCTCCTCTTCTACAGAAAGATCACTAGAAATTAAATACAGAGACAGAGTGATTCATCACCTTTATTTCTTCAGATTATCTATTTTCAATTGCTTTTGCTAAAACAGAACAAAACCCAACATGCAGATGCAGTGTTTCCTGGCAGCAAGCTCTCTGGGACAGTGGGGGCTAACCTGACGGTGCACAGGCCGTGCGAGTCTCTGGAGAAGCAGGTGAGGCCAGGAGGTCTGGCCAAGGCAATGAAGCCTTTCTTACAGCTGAAGCTCAATTCTGCCCTTTTACGAGAAAGTGGAGACCCACAGGCCCTGTCGGATCCAGAATCCAGGTGTCCTGATTCCCTGTCCACTGCCCTTGGCCTCCTTCCTAGCCCTCTCCTAAGGAAACGGGGACCTTGGTGTATAAAAGTCCAGATGGGTCAGTATTTTGGGTAATGTTTTTGTTTTTGTTTTTTGCAGAGATCCTCCCTGTCTAGGGGAAAGAGGGACTTTCGTGTTGTGTTGTTCAAATTCATCATGCGGTAGAGTGTACCCGCTGCTTCCCCAGTTCTCACCATTGGTTCTGTTACTCCATGCTTGGTGGGCAATTTGCCAAAGGACAGACACTCTTGGCCAGCAGTCTGCCCATTGCGCAGCTGGGTCTGCTAAGAGCAGGCCAGGCTTTCCTGCTGGAGCTCAGCACCCTGAGCAGTGGTCGGTACTCACGTAAGTGCTTAGGCCGGGGGACGGGCAAGGACAGGAAGAGGAAGAACACGGGGTGAAGGGAGTACAGGGCACTAAATGGGGATGGGGAACTGGCTAAGTATAAAATGAAGACCTACAGAGAGACTGCTTCTAAGCATGCGTCCAGGCAGAGGCCTCGGAGGAGACCCCGGGCACCTACCCGGTGGCAACCCCGGGCACCTACGGCTCAAGCCTCCTGGGCACGGGCGCCCCGTCCGAGGCACAGCTGCACTTCTGCACCCTCATGTTGGGCAGGCTGACCACCTGCGGCCTGGTCCTGCCTCCCTCCTTGATGCCGACGATCACGGGCAGCGAGGCCGTCTCCGAGGCGACGCACTGCCGGGGCCCCACGTAAGGCCACTTGATGCTCAGGGGCTCTGGGGGCTGCTGACAGCTACCCACACACTCGTATGCCAGGAAGCCCGGGGGCTCCAGGACCCAGTTCTCGGCCCACTTCATCCCCTGCAGGTCAATGTACATCTCCTGGCGGCAGCAGCGGGTGGCCTCGGTCACTGGCACCTCAGGGTCACAATCGCCCTGAGCTCTGTGTGAGCAAGAGGAGGCAAGGTCAGAGGTCAGCTGAGAAGGCAGAGGTCAGGGGGATTTGAGATTTAGGTTCCATCTCTCATTATGTTAAAAAAGCTGGATATTTGTGATAAAGGATGAATAAATAAACATAGCCAAAATAATAAATCAACTACAGTTTAGCAGAGGTCTCCGAATATGCCAGGCACTGAACTAGGTCCTTCACAGGTACAAGGGCACTTCGAAAAGTTCATGAGGGGCCGGCAGGTGGTGTGGTGGTTAAGGGTGTTGGGCTCCCACATGGCTGACTGCAGTTCAAGTCCTGGACCTGGCAGCTTGCTTTCTCGCTTTCTCTCTCTCTCTGTTCCTCTCTGGTCAAATTTAAATAAATACAGTTAAATAAAAAAATAATTACTTAAAAATAATCATGAAAAATGGAATTAACATAGGGGTTGATTTGGGTGCAAAAACTTTAAATCCATGTATAGTTTTTCATAATACTTATTTTCTGTGAACTTTTTGGAGATTTCAGGTGATATTTGCATTTCATCTTCCAATGAACCTTGAGGGAGGTCCCAACACTGTCCTTACTACACCTGAGACACAAGACCCAGTGGTGTGCCAGAGCACCTGCAGCCTCAGAAGGCGGGGCTATTAGCAGGTGTTAGTAGCCAGGCTGTATGGGTCCAAAGGCCTGATCTTACCATCAGTTCTCTGCTCCAAATTGCTAACTTGTCTGATGACAAAAAGCATTCGGCAAAGCAGCGAAAAGTTGTTCCATCTTCGTTAATAGCCAAAGCTAATTTTTTAAAAGCATTATTTTATTTAACTTTTGTTTGTTTGTTTGTTTTTGATTTGACTAGAGAGGGACAGAGCACACATGAGAGAGAGTGAGAGAAAGTGAGAAAGCAAGCCACCAGGTCTGGGACTCAAATCACAGTCGATAATGTGGGGGAGTCCAGCGCCCCTAAGCACCAAACCACCTGCCAGCCCCTAATTTTTTTTAAAGGAGATTTTTGCTGTAGGGCACATGTACTCGCTGAAGAGACAGAAAATGAGACATCACCCCCTGGGGGGGATGGCCACAATCCTTCTTCCACTCTCCTCTGGGGATCTTGGGCATGCACACACATGCACCTGGTGCGAATTTCAAGACACCGGGTCTGGGACTCAAGCCACAGTTGATTATGTGAGAGTCCAGCGATGTAACCATTTCACCATCTGTTGGTCCCCAAACTAATTTTTTTACAGACATAATCGCATGGGTCCAGCTGCCGGTATGATGATTAAGGAAGCTCCTACATGACCAAATGCATGGTTCAAGTCCCAGACCTGGCACCTTGGAAAACATGTAGGACACCTGTGCATGTGTGCCCAAGATCCCAGGGGAAAAATGGAGAAGAAGGGATTGCAGTGTGACTATCCCCCATTGGGAGGAGGAGGTGCCTTCTCACTTTCCCCATTTCTATCTCCAACAAGTGCTAGAACCCCAGCAAATTAAAGAAGAAAATAAAAGAAAAATAATTATGGAGAAAATAAAAGGAAACTATTAATATATAGATGATCCAGTTTGTATAATTCAATGACAACATATAAATCTACAGAAAATATCAGATTCTTTCCAATGAAATGTTTGAATAAGTATATTCTACCATTGGGGCCAGCAGGTGGCATAGTGGTTAGGGGCACTGGACTGCCACATGGCTGGTCACAGTTCCCACATGGCTGACTGCAGTTCAAGTCCTGGACCTGGCAGCTTGCTTTCTCGCTTTCTCTCTCTCTCTGTTCCTCTCTGGTCAAATTTAAATAAATACAGTTAAATAAAAAAATAATTACTTAAAAATAATCATGAAAAATGGAATTAACATAGGGGTTGATTTGGGTGCAAAAACTTTAAATCCATGTATAGTTTTTCATAATACTTATTTTCTGTGAACTTTTTGGAGATTTCAGGTGATATTTGCATTTCATCTTCCAATGAACCTTGAGGGAGGTCCCAACACTGTCCTTACTACACCTGAGACACAAGACCCAGTGGTGTGCCAGAGCACCTGCAGCCTCAGAAGGCGGGGCTATTAGCAGGTGTTAGTAGCCAGGCTGTATGGGTCCAAAGGCCTGATCTTACCATCAGTTCTCTGCTCCAAATTGCTAACTTGTCTGATGACAAAAAGCATTCGGCAAAGCAGCGAAAAGTTGTTCCATCTTCGTTAATAGCCAAAGCTAATTTTTTAAAAGCATTATTTTATTTAACTTTTGTTTGTTTGTTTGTTTTTGATTTGACTAGAGAGGGACAGAGCACACATGAGAGAGAGTGAGAGAAAGTGAGAAAGCAAGCCACCAGGTCTGGGACTCAAATCACAGTCGATAATGTGGGGGAGTCCAGCGCCCCTAAGCACCAAACCACCTGCCAGCCCCTAATTTTTTTTAAAGGAGATTTTTGCTGTAGGGCACATGTACTCGCTGAAGAGACAGAAAATGAGACATCACCCCCTGGGGGGGATGGCCACAATCCTTCTTCCACTCTCCTCTGGGGATCTTGGGCATGCACACACATGCACCTGGTGCGAATTTCAAGACACCGGGTCTGGGACTCAAGCCACAGTTGATTATGTGAGAGTCCAGCGATGTAACCATTTCACCATCTGTTGGTCCCCAAACTAATTTTTTTACAGACATAATCGCATGGGTCCAGCTGCCGGTATGATGATTAAGGAAGCTCCTACATGACCAAATGCATGGTTCAAGTCCCAGACCTGGCACCTTGGAAAACATGTAGGACACCTGTGCATGTGTGCCCAAGATCCCAGGGGAAAAATGGAGAAGAAGGGATTGCAGTGTGACTATCCCCCATTGGGAGGAGGAGGTGCCTTCTCACTTTCCCCATTTCTATCTCCAACAAGTGCTAGAACCCCAGCAAATTAAAGAAGAAAATAAAAGAAAAATAATTATGGAGAAAATAAAAGGAAACTATTAATATATAGATGATCCAGTTTGTATAATTCAATGACAACATATAAATCTACAGAAAATATCAGATTCTTTCCAATGAAATGTTTGAATAAGTATATTCTACCATTGGGGCCAGCAGGTGGCATAGTGGTTAGGGGCACTGGACTGCCACATGGCTGGTCACAGTTCCAGTCCCGGACCTGGCGGCTTGCTTCCTCTCTCTCTCGTCCTCTCTGGTCAGATGAGAATAAATAAAGTTAAATAAAATAATTCTTTTTAAAAATTCAACCATTAGAATTCTGACATGCAGTGGAGAATCCTCGGCATCGGGGGCAGTTTGTAGCCCCTGCATCCCAGCTAGTCACGACCCGGGCCTGGACTCCCAGTTGTCGTTGCGTCCCGTGCAGGCACAGCCTGTCGCCTACCCGTAGTCCTTGAGGTCCAGCGTGCGCAGCTCCAGCTGGGGCTCGCCCTGCCCCGACCGCGCCCCCTGCGAGGCGAAGCGCACCAGCCTGTGCGCGCTGGAGGGCGGCGGGGCCAAGGGGTCCCTCTTCAACCA